CTGGACAATAACCAATAATAATGATTTGTTTATATACTACAAACACTTTTGTATCACATAATAATGCAGAATAGTTTCTATACTGTAATAAATGCTATGTCAGTTAGCACTGCATTGTTCATATACTGTATTTATTACCTGGAGATGACTTGACAAACACAAATAAACCATATATTGTCGCAATCGTATGTTTAATGTCTTCATGTTTCCAAACGTTTCTGTTTTTCTGTGAAAACAACTATTTCGTACAGCGATAGCTGGACGCTTTTGTCCATATTAGGAATTTCCTCGTACGACTTTCTGCGCGAGTCCGCGAGAGCGCCCTTCGGCTTCGAGTATGAAGGAAACATACACTGCATGAGTGTTTAGCGCTCTGCGATGTTCATCTCGCCTTATTCTGGGTCCGAATAAAACATCAGATCATGCACAGACTATCCTGTCTCTTTGAATTTAAATCTATATTTATTCACACCGGCTCTTGAAAACTTCTATGCGAACACACTTGCCCGAAAAAGTGCGGGGGATGAATTTACGTGATATTAAAAGTGGGGGGGACACGTCCACCGCGTAATCTACGCCCCTGCCTTCAGCGCTGCGGTTTTAGGTTTTCAGGAAAGTGCATTTTCCTAAAATACATTTCCTGTATTTCAATTGAAGGAACATTCACGGTTAAATATACTCCATCAGCAGCATCTGTGGCATGCAGCCAGTTATGAAGAGAAAATTAGAAGATGGAAGCCTTGCAATACGGCATTTAAATATTCAATAAATATATTAGAAAAAAATAATACTACTTAAATTTGAAAAATTTAAATTTTATTGTTTTATTGTTTTAATTTCAATTAAATTATTATGTTATGTTATTTTGTTATTTACATTTATTTAATACAACTTAAGCATAATTTTGAATGAATGTTTTTAATTTATATTATACATTTTTTATTTTATTATATATATATATATATATATATATTTCATCAAACGCTAAATGCCTGCTACTACTTACAATTAATGTGACTTCTTCTACTTTAGCAATTTCAGGCTTGTTTATATAAAAATAAATAAATAAATATATATGATCATTTTAATATCGTTTTTATATAATACAATTATTATATTGTTATTTTGTTATTGAAATATAATACAATTTGAATATAATTTTGAGTAAATCTTTTTAACTTTTAATGCATTTATATGATGCAAATTAGAATACAATTTAAAAATACAAATTTTTATTAAATATTTTAAATATGCATCTTTTGTTCCTGAGACGTCTGTTGAAGTGCAAGGAAACATTTTGTTAGTCAGTCATTACCAGAATGTGAAATGCGACTAGAGTTAAAATATTTAGTAAAAGGATCTACAACTAAAGTCAAATACAAATGATGATTTACCTGAGCCAGTTGTTTCTGAAGCTTCTGAATCTTTTTCTCTTATTCCCCTGTCTTTTGTTGCTCACTCTCATAAGGCTCTCTGTCTCTCTCTGAAGGACATTCAGCAGTTGCTGCAGTTACAGCAGCTGGTCCTGATGCCAGGTCATCCTCTTCAGTCTCCTGCTCAGTTCCTGCTTCCTCAAGCCCAGGCTCAGCAGGGTCAGCAAGGTGCGACGCGCCTGTTCACACATTTTCATCATGCCTATGGGGTCTCTGTCACACCAATAACATTTGTGTGCACTGATGTCTTTAGTGAGAAATTGCCATTCATGCTCTTTCAGGTTTGCTTTCAACACCAAATTTGATTCCACTACCTCAGCAAAGCCCAGGGAGTCTCCTGACCTCCCCGTCTAGACTGGGCCTTCAAGCACAGGTATGCAACCAAAACGGGTTCAAACTACATTGTTGTCAACCTTATTATTGCTTATTTAATTAGCAAGTGATGTCCAGTTATCATCTCGGTAATAAATATGGTTATTTTTCTTTTTTTTTTTATCAGTGTTAATGGCAATTTTCAACAGTACAATCAAATAATGAGTCAACAAAGGAGTTTTATAGATGTACAAGAAATAGAAGGTTGAGCACAATACAGTGTGCTCTGCTGTATACAGCAAATGTAATAATTTAAATAAGTATGCTGAGAAATTGTTGCATATTGTGCATGCATTACCATTCTAAAGTTTGGGGTTTGCGGTCGTAAGATGTTTTTTGCTTTTGAAAGTCTCTTATTGTTACCAAGGCTGCATTTATTTGATCAAACATACAGTAAAACCAGTAATATTGTGAAATATTATTGCAATTTTAAAAATGATTTTTTTCTGTGATGCAAAGCTGAATTTTCAGCATAATTCCTCCAGTCTTCAGTGTCACATGATCCTTCAGAAATCACTCTAATATGCTGATTTGCTGCTCAAGAAACATTTCTTATTATAATCAATATTGAAAACAGTTTTGCTGCTTAATATTTCTGTGGAAACAGATTTTTTTTTTCAGTATTCTGAAAAAATGTACTGCCACTTTTGATTAATTTAATCCATCCTGGTGAATAAAGGTATTTAATAATAATTTCATAATTTAAAAATCTCACAGACTCCATACTTTTGGAACATTAATGTACATATTGCATATTTTTGAAAGTATGTAGTATGCTATCTAAAGTCTAGATTTGTTCCCTTGAAGCTTTGAACAGTTCGAAACCATAGGGCTAGAAATGAATCTTATGGGAAATGAAGAGGATTTTTGCGATATGTTTGAAATGGAAGAGCTGTCTGTCTCGCACTATACCTGTGTTTGAGAAAGTAGTGTGTTTCCCCAATCTGTGCTGTAGTATCATCTTGACGACAGGCTGTGGTCATTGCAGAGGGAGAAGAGCGTGGAGAGCGCTGTGAGCTCCGCCCCCTCCTCAGTCCCGCCCATGAGCTCCGTTCCCACGGTGACAGCTCACGGTGAGGAGCCCAGCGATCTGGAGGAGCTCGAACAATTCGCGAGAACCTTCAAACAGAGGAGAATTAAACTGGGCTTCACACAGGTGTGTGTGTGTGTGTGTGTATGTGTGTATGTGTGATCTTGGATATTTTCTGTCACAGTTCGAAACATGTTTTTAAAAATCTAACTTCAAAAAATATATATAAACTTTCTTTCAAAACACTTATTTTTTTAAATCTACTGAAAATAAACAACACTTCCACAAATCATTTATTTATAATTAAGGGAGGCATTTAGGCATGTAAATGCAGCTTTAATGCATTTACATTTTTGGTAAATATATGCAAAAATATTAAAATATGCAACTATGATCTTTTTTTGTATTTTTATTGAAATAATACTTTTGACATTTTATTGATTAAATAACATTTTAATACAAGATTAATGCATTTGAAATTGTACTAAATATTTTAAATTTGAAACTATCATCTTGTATTTTTAATGAAATAAACAATACTTAGTTTTCATATATATAATTAAGGGAGGTGATCATTCTGAGCAGCTTTTAAATCTTTGTGTTTTAATTTATTTAATACCAATTTAATACAACTTTAATACATTTAAATGTTAAAAAAATATTTGCCATATGCAACTATCTTTTTTTTGTATTTCTATTTGAAGTCTATTTGAACAATACTTATTTATCATATATAAGGATATGTATATAATTAGTGGAGGCATTCATTTAAATAGCATTTTTTCGCAAGCTTTTATAATTTATTTATTTGAATTAATTTAATGCCATTTTAATGTATTATTTTGGATCAGACTTTCTTTATTGACTTAATTTTATTTTAAAATCGCATGGGATACCAGCCGTACTGTTATTTTACCAAGAAAGTTAACAAAAAGGTCAAGACCCGTGACGCAGATGCAAACATTTGGCACAGTGAGAAATTTAGATTTAGTAACGCTATTCAGTGAAGCTCAAAATAAATTAGATGCTTTGTGAGAAAATAACACACGGCTAACACACATTTCTGTCTGGATGAGATTTGATTTTTCAGAGGATTTGCTCTGGACTTTTTCTGAGGTTGTGTGAGAAAAAACACATAAGTTGCTATTGAAATCACATAGTAAGTCTGTGAAACATAAATTGAGCTGTCCTCAAACTAACCTATTCATGTCTGCATAGGGATAAATTAATAAAACAAGCGAATGGTAACTCTGCTCCATGTCTTCATGCAGGGGGATGTGGGTATGGCCATGGGTAAACTGTACGGCAATGACTTCAGTCAGACCACCATCTCACGTTTCGAGGCTCTCAACCTCAGCTTCAAGAACATGTGCAAGCTCAAACCCTTGCTGGAGAAATGGCTGAACGATGCAGGTGTGTGTTTCTGTCAGTTCCCTGTCGCCGTTTCACATTAGCGTTCCCTATGATTCATGTATGTGTGCGTTTTTTGTGTTACAGAAACCATGGCGATAGACAACATGCTGCCGAGCCCCAGTTCGCTGTCCTCACCTCTGCTGGGCTTTGAAGGCTTGCCTGGGCGACGCCGAAAGAAACGCACCAGCATCGAGACCAACGTCCGCATAGCCCTGGAGCGCAACTTCATCTCGGTTAGACACACACACATGAACACACACGCCGTACCAAATGTTGTAAGATTTTAGGCACACCTCAGCTTCAGGAATGACCTCTTTTTTGCCGTCTCATGATAAAAAAATATATTGGTTCTCTTTTTGAAAATGCTGATGCCATTTTTTTCTCTCTCTCTAAGGAGAATCAGAAGTCTACCAGCAAACTAATTTATTGCAATATACAGTATAAAAATAGTCACCACATTAAACCCCTTATACATCTGGCTTGATTGTAAAAGTATTGCTTGAGCATATTATCACGCATTATTATCATAGACCAGCTTACTTAAAGGGTTAGTTCACCCAAAAATGAAAATTAGGCTGCGTTTTACTCACCCCCGAGGCATCCTAGGTGTATATGACTTTCTTCTTTCAGACGAATCCAGTCGGAGTTATATAAAAAATTGTCTTTGATCTTTCAAGCTGTTTAATGGCACTCAGCGGGTGTTGCATTGCTTCAGTCCAAAAGAACTTAATAAAAAATCGCCCATCCATATAAAAAAAGTGTCTCACACGGCTCCGGGGTGTGAACAAAGGCCTTCTGTAGCGAATCGATGCGTTTTTATAAGAAAAATATCCATATTCAAAACGTAATAATCACTTGAATCTAGCTTGCACTCACTGTTGTAAACAGAAGCAGTTCCGGGCGGATGACGTATGAGGTCGACTGAAGCAATGCAACACCCGCTGAGTGCCATTAAACAGCTTGAAAGATCAAAGACAATTTTTTATATAACTCTGACTGGATTCATCTGAAAGAAGAAAGTCATATACACCTAGGATGCCTCGGGGGTGAGTAAAACCCAGCCTAATTTTCATTTTTGGGTGAACTAACCCTTTAACTGTTCAAGAAGAATGTCTTTGGAAAAGTGTAGTAATTTGACAGTGGTTCCCAACCGAGGAGAAATAACAAATAAAAAAATAACATAATATTATTATAAATAAATAAAAAATAATTATAAAATATAATGATATATAATATAATAATAATAATGATAATTCTTATGATATCTTATTATAAATTGCTTGCAATGTTGTTCATTTGTAGATCTATTTGGATAAAATAATAAATAATAATAAAATAAAATGCTAAAATATTATCCTAAAATATAACAATATATCATATAAAATAAAACAGAATATAATATGTAATATAATCTAATCATAATAAGTTTTAAGATATGCTATGATAAATTTCTTACAATGTTCTTAGTTTGTAAGTCAATTTGGATAAATTAAATAAATACAAAAAAATTATCAAATAAAATAATATTCAAAAATATAGTATTTCATATAATGATGATGCATTTTATGATATCTTATGATAAATTGCTTGCAATGTTCATTTGTAAGTTGCTTTGAATAAAATAAAATGTTCTTTGTAAGTCAAATTGGATTAAATAAATAAATTGAAAATAAATAAATAAAATAATATTTTAATATAATAATATATCATAATATTAGAATAATGATGCGTTTTATGATATCTTATGATAAATTGCTTGCAATGTTAATTTGTAAATTGCTTTGGATAAAATAAAATAAAAAATAAAGTGTTTATTGGTTCATACGGTAAATGGAACACCAAGTAGCACTAAGTCTTGGTGAAACTAAAAACCAAAATGGAGACAAGTCCCAAACTACACTCATTTCAGGATCGTTTTAGTGTCTTATACCACACCATACAGATTCATTAATCCCCAAAAGACAGTTTTGTTGTATGGCCGCACATGAGTTTCAAAACCACTGCATCACACCACTGGTAAGCACCACACCTGTGTTGGTGAGACTGATGCTTTTTTCCAAGGAAAAGTGTCTTAAGATCAAGTCAAGGCAAACAGCCAATACACTTGAGGCACTGTTTCTTTCCATTTCTGAGTAACTCTACTTGTAGGCATTACAGTAAGTCCCTAAACGTTCTTAAGGACTCAACAAATCTGTGTTTACATGCACTTTTGAGTACCAGTTGCTCAACTGCTTCTTTGATCATGCATTGAGTATTTCATGCATCAACATGAAATTGTTTGGGGCTGAAACTTGGCCTTGGTGCAAGTGTTTGGCACGTCTCACGTACTCATGCACCTCATCTCACCCCCAGAACCAGAAGCCTACCTCTGAAGAAATCCTGCTGATGGCCGAGCAGCTCAGCATGGAGAAAGAGGTCATCCGAGTCTGGTTCTGCAACCGACGGCAGAAAGAGAAGCGTATACACCCCTCCAGCGCCACCCCTCCTCTGCCCAGCCAGCCTCCAGCTTCCATGCACAAACTGCCCTGCTACAGCCCGCACATGGTACACCCACTCACGGCTTTAGCCATTGATCTGGCCCAAAGCCATTTCGGCAGACGGCTGGTGTTGAAATGTTGTTTGGATGGTGCATGGTGAGAATGTGCGCAAAATGCCGTACTGAGGAGACATGTCTGGTCATGATGTGTCTGAATAATGTTCCACCATAAAATGATAATTGGATCTTTGGAAGTAAAGGAAAATATTAAAGAACGTCATGAGGAGACGTATGTTTGTTAATTAGAGTCTTATTCCTTTTTCCTATAGATGTCCAGCCAGGGACTGGCTCAGGCCATTACCAGTCTCAGCACAACAGGTAAGAAGAGCAGTTTGAATGAATCAAAGTGTTGCATAACTTCACATTTGTGGTTGCGAGGACTGACACTGAATCCTTCGTCTTGAATCTAGCCGTCAGTCCCACACCTTCTGTGGCCTGCCCTCTCAACCCCAGTGGACATGCAGCAATGAGCTCCGCCCCTTCCTCTGTGACTCCGCCTCCTCTCAGCACAGTCAGCCCCACTCCGCCCAGTCTCAGCAGCCCTGGTCTGAACACAGGGTAAGAAGCTGTTTCATCTGTTTAGGGCAGGATAATACACTTTTGACACTGCTTTTATGGTAATAATGTGAAACTATTTGAAATTGAAACAACAACAGCAATTATAATAAATATTCGTTATTAATAGTAAATAGTACATTATTATAATTGGTTCTAAATATGTTATTATAAATAATAATAATATTAATATTAATGATGAAGATGATTATTGTTATTTAATCAATTATTTGTTTCGGTTGTTTTAATCAACTAAGAAAGTAATGTATCGAATGATATATATGAATGTTAATTTATTCATGTGTATTATACTTTGCAAATTTGCACAAATTCAGGATCCAGTGCTGTACATAATGTAAATGATTTTAGACCAAGACGATTAAAATATAAATAAATAATAAATATAATAATAATTATTATTATTATAATTATTATTATCAGTTATTTGTTTAGGTTGTTTTACTCAGCATTGACATTTGAAAAAAATATTTGTACAAATTCTGTATCAAATGCTGTACATAATGTAAACGATAACAACATAACAACAACAATAATAATAATAATAAATGTTCGTTATTAATAGTAAATAGTACATTATTATAATTGGTTCTAAATGTTATTATAAATAATATTAATATTAATGATGAAGATGATTATTGTTATTTAATCAATTATTTGTTTCTGTTGTTTTAATCAACTAAGGAAGTAATGTATCGAATGATATATATGAATTGTATATATGTGAATTATATATATATGAATGTAAATTTATTCATATGTATTATACTTTGCAAATTTGCACAAATTCAGGATCCAATGCTGTACATAATGTAAATGATTTTAGACCAAGACGGATAAATATAAATAAATAATAAATATAATAATAATAATAATAATTATTATTATTATTATCATCAATTATTTGTTTAGGTTGATTTACTCAGCATTGACATTTGAAAAAATATTTGTACAAATTCTGTATCAAATGCTGTACATAATGTAAATGACAACAACATAACAACAATAATAATAATAATAATAATGATTATTATTATTATTATTTTAAATATGTGAAAATTTTGCAAAACATTTTGTAATCCAATGTTACATAATGTAAGTGTAATTGTTACAAATACTTTTTTAACAATAAAATGTATAATAATAATAATAATATAAACCAAAAAAATCTCTCTTTAGATTGTTTCAATCAAATTAATTATATCTGAATCATAAAATATTGTAAAAGTTCATTTGTTATTGTTTATGATACCTCTGATATTCAAGAATATTTGAATAAATCTGGCATCCAGTGTTCTGCATTATGCAAAATGTTGAGGTCATAAATTTGAAGCCTGTGATTACAACAGAGTGTAATTCTGTCAGCAGCTTTCAGTATGATTAAGCCTTCTGAACTGAAATAATTACAGCTTTGCTGTAGTCTTATCATACTTGTTTTTGCAGTGAAATCTCTATTCTCAGTTGTGTTCCAAACCTATCAGTTGTAATCTAAACTGCCTGCTGAATTTCATGCTCTCGAGTTTTCTTTCTTTGTCTGTCTAATGTAAGTCTTTCCAGCATGTGAAATGAACACAAACTCCACGATGGACACGGTTGCTCTTGAAATGTCACTCAAAATGCTTGCTTCTCTCTGCATGTATGAATGGCGTGTGTTTGTGGGCACGTGTAAATGACACCACACACGTTACAGGAACACAATGATGGGTGTAAGCACAGGAATGACCCAGGCCCTCATCAGCAGCAACCCCCTGGCCACAATGCAAGGTTTGTCATAGTGAGAGGACGAGAAAAAGGGCAGAAAATGATTGACAGAAGGTTGCATGAAAGTGTTTGAATAGAACGATATGGAGGAGGAGAACATGATTAGAGATCAGTTAGAATAACATGAGGGAAACCTTTCCATAAGTCATCATCAAAGAGCCGTCTACTATACTCTCACCGCATATTCATCACATCTTTATCCTCACTACTTACATACGTGTGTTTGTTGTGTACGTGTGCGTACACCATATCAGCATATTAGAAATATGTGGTGTGTCTGTGCATTTTGTCTGTCTCTTTCAAAAGCACCTGCCATTTCTGTGCCCTTATGTTTGTTCTTGAACTCATTTTAATCCGAACCACTTAAAACCCTTTGCCACCAACACAGTGCTGGAGCCGATGCACAATCTAGAACCGTTCTGTTCGTTTACCCCAAAGAAAAGGCGACTCCGGGGCCAGTGTGTTGCCTCGCACAACTTCCTTCATTTATACTCCAGTTTGTTTTCCCTATCTGTCTGTCTATATCTATTTCTGTAAAATAGTATTCTTAAATAATATATATTTCTTAAATATAACTAAAATACAAATGTTTATAATAAATATTAATACATAATCAAATTTCATTTATAAAAATCTTGTTAACTGAAATCTACAAATACTGTTTTTTGTTATATATTTTGACAAAATCGTATAACAAGT